GAGGCCTAGCAGCAGGCAGCTGGAGCAAAAGTTGGTTGAGAACATTTAAGACACAGGGATCAGAGAGAGTGGGCTGTAGTAGAGAGAGGCTACAAACCCCAATAGTGTACCTCCTCAAGCAAGGCTCCTCACCCTAAAATAGCACCACCAACTAGGGACCATACTGTTCAAATACCTGATCCTGGGAGGAGCATTTCTCATTCAAACCACTACTGAGCTTTGTTTGGCTCCAAGTTCAAGTTAAGTGTTTTGTGGGGGCCGCAGAATCAATAAAGATTTGGGCTGCATCTGAGAAATACAGCTAAAGAAAGATGGTAGCCACTGGTCAAAACATGACCAGAGTTTTTTCTGTAGCTGCTGTCATCTTTTTTTACTGAAAACATCATGTTTACAGTAACCAGAATGTGGCCCATGTCATCTGCAAATCTAAGTCATGAGAAGAGCCAACTCACACGGTTAAACTGAATAAAAGAGGCTTGGCCAGAACAAGATGACTACCTCCCACTAGCCAAAGGACTATTATGTAGGAGAGGAACTTGGAATAATTTTGTGAGCTACACTGAGACAAACAGAAACCAGGGACCAAGCTATAGGACACATACAACAGAGACCCAGCAGCAGAGGAGATTCCTATGTTGTCTGTAGTCATCTCAAGGACTGAGACTAGAGCCTGTGTCCAGGGTCAAGGGGAGCACTTTCAACACAGGGGAGCTGGGAAGCAGGTAGGGCCTGCCTTGGGTGCAAAATCGAAGGTGAAGCTTACTCAGTCTTCAAGATACTTAATGCTTTTTTACCACATGTTCTAAATATTAAAATAATTTTTAAAAACTATAGCAGACAAAGTATCAAAATTTGAATAAAGATCGGTATTACAGACGTTTTCCCTCTTGTCCCAGGCCCCAGAGACTCAGCCAGTGAATGAAACACAAAGATAGAGTGTTAACATTAAGCTATGTTAGGCCAGATCAGATGCATAAAGGGTCGGGGTGCTCAGAAGGGTGGAAGCTGCATGCTGAGCTTCTCTCCTGAGAGCTAAGACCCTCAGGAAGCTTGTCAGGATCACCCAGACCTACAGGCTAAGCTTTGGGCCAGAAACGGGGCTTGTGAAAAGGGAGAAGCCAAGTTCCAAAATACATGCAGCCCATAGGGAAGATAAACACACAAGTGGTTCCTGTGCCATAGAAAAGGACTTCACTGGAGGCTCTCAGAGCGAGGCCCCACCTCTACAGATTTTGGGTGTAGGGTAACGAGTAAATCCCAGACAAAGCACCTGGGGCAGGTCAAGGAGATCACAAGAGCAAATGGTGGCAGGAGGGACGAGGACCATGTGCCCAGAAATCGCGGTTGGCATGGCCTCCATTAATGGGGTGCAAAGGTCTAAGGCATCAGGAAATGAAGCATGAAGGCACAAGGGACCCAGCTGTAAGCCTTGGCCATGAAAGGCTGTTGTCCTGAATGCCTCTTGTGCTCATTTCTGCTTCTCACTGTGCTGACAACTTAGGAGTTTTTTCCTCATATACATTCCATTTAGCCTCATGTCCTTTTGGCTGAATCAGGGTCTTCATCCCATAGACTACTCTAAATGATGCATTGGTCCTCCCTAATGACTCTCCATGGATGCAGAATGACAGTTTCAAAATAAGCCAATATAGCGTTTGTTCTCCTCGGAACATGGCTTGCTTATCCCCTGGTTTGTCTCTCTGTAGCTGTATGAGAATCCACCTGCTGTACTGCTTTCCAGCCCCTCCCCCTGTGGGGTCATCTCCCCGCAGAGCACCGTGAACATACCACTAACCTTGGAGACCCAGGCCACAGGTGAACATAGATCCACGATTTACATCTCAGTCTTCGGGAGCCAAGACAACCCTCTGGTGAGTCAGTTTTCAGAATCACAATTGAAGTCACATGCTCCCTACCACAGAGTTTTTATCTTTTTCATTGAAGACATGTCATCATTGCATATCCTCTGGTTTCTATAGTTACAGGGCTTTGTTTTCATTCTACAGTAGTAAAACACATGTGTGGCATTACTTAGGAAATCTATATGCAGATACACACCCAAAAGTCGTAAGCCTAACGGGAGTACCAACATTTCACACACACACACACACACACACACACACACACACACACGTTAGTGCCTCTCCTTGATCAACATATCTGTATGTTTAACAAGCTCCTCAGTTGTTCCCAAAGCAAAGCCAAGTTTAACCATCATTCAATTACCTATAGGATGAAAGATCAGTTTTACTCCTGGCTGCCCAGATCTTTTCCTATAGAGAAACTACATTAGCCAGCACCACATTTCGTACCAGAACTGTTAAGAGTCTCTGAGCAAGGTAGGAGAGAAACACTGAACACTGCTGCTTGGGCTGAACTGATAAATCTGGAGTCTTGCGGGAGAGCGCTTCCCTGGGCATTCAGTTTACTTGGAAGCTGGGTGATATCCTTTGAGCTGACTCTTGCTGCCTAGACAGCACAATGAGCTAAGGTTTTCTTTGACCGCTTCTGTATAAGATGCTATAGGTGATCAACAGCAGGCCAGCAACCCCCGCCCCCATGGCTCCCTGTGACCACTCTCCAGCCCCTGCACAGATGTACCTGGTGAAAAGGCTAGTGCTCTAGGAAAGACAAGAGGCCACATAGTTCAAAGTGTGGATATCAACCACCAGCCTGCACAGATGTGTGCATAGCTCTGCCTGTCAACGGTTATCAGAAAGACAGAACTGGGCATCAAATGCAGACACATCCAACTCAGAGCACTGACTCTTCACCTCGTGTTACATGTTCTTGAGGCTGAAGGGCTGAGTGGGACATACGGCCCCAAGAGTCTGATTTTCTCTACCATGTAACCCTGGGCTGGTGCAGGGAAGCTGACCATCCCAGGAAGGCATTCCAGGCTAGACCAACATGTCTGACTACACATGCTCAGTTCTATGTCCCTCTAACCACAGAGAACCAATGGGAAGGGATGTCACCTCGCATCAGCACCCTTCATGCCTCCTCTGTTTTGTTAGAGGAGACTAGAAGCCTTTGTTCTCATCCCTCTTCAGTGCGGCCATTTCACCTGTGCTTGTGTTCTTTCTCTTATGGAACTCAGGCATGCCACATACAGAGTATTGGAGAAGGCCCGGTTATCTTCATACATCCCACTCAAGTTGATTTTGGCAATATCTATGTCCTGAAGGACACATCAAGAATTCTCCAGCTATCTAACCAGTCCTTCATCCCTGCAGTATTTCGGGCTCGAATGGTGAGTAAGTCCTGGGCTGTCACAGTTTTGGCTTATGTCCAGTGTCCCTGTTTTTGCAACATGTGTTTAAACATGAGTGCCAGAAGCAGAGCTTTGTGTGGCTAAGCAGTATGAAACCATGTCATTCCCATCCTTAATTCTCTTTATTATAATCCTTTTGTTACTCAAGAAGCACAATATGCATATCTGGTAAGCAAGCAGATACATTTCATATAATCCCATGTGGGAAGATGTTTCAGAGGCGATCAGCTTTAGCTGAGCACCCAAACCCAGCTCCAAGCCCTCCAAAGACCATTGTCTCTGTAGCTGAAATCATTTCTCATTAGACTCCCCTTAGGTATACATTTTTTAAATATGTTTATCCTATTTTTGTTCTCTCCTTCAGAGAGTATTTCAATGCAATTTATAAGGATGTATCAGGGGTAGAGAGATGGCTCCACAGTTAGGAGTCCTTGCTGTATTCAGTACCCATATTGGATGGCTTATTCTGGCTCCAAGAGATTCAGCATCCTCTTGAACACACACACACACACACACACACACACACACACACACACACACACACACCACAATTAAAATAAATCTTATAAGGATATATAATGTAGACAAAAACGGAAATTAAAGAAAACAACAAGGTAAAGAAATATGTTAAATGAGTCTGTCTCAGATCTGCTAGCCACCTATAAGCTCTTTTACTTATTTTTTTGTTGTTCTAAAAAAGAGACATTGGAGGTTGTTTGGGTTTTGTTTTGTTTTTGACAAATTTAGGAATTTCTATCCTCATAGTTAAAAGTACCATTGATTTTTAAAATTGGTTTTCCATACTTAAACATAAAATTATAACTAATATTGCAGTCCTCCTATCTCCAAATTATTGTCATCTGAATGAGAGCTGCCATTTCATGTCAACATTTTCAGATAGTGGTGAAGAATCAAATATTATTGATTTTACAGCAATCACTATTGAAAAGAATTATCACTTTCTCCTGTCTCAAAACAGCCCATTGGACACTGGTCCCAATTAGTAGCCTTTATTCATCATGATGATTCATTTTTATCATTTTTCCTTATTCCTTGTCAAGGAAACTATTTTCATAAACAGTCATTGCTCTTTTCAACCTTAGGCCCCAAGATCTTGTGGATTTGGTCTAGAGAATATTATTTAATAATCAATAGAGGAAAGTCTTGTCAAGAAAAAATAATTCACTACTATTTTCCCAATGAATTCATGGTTGCACTTTGTAGAGATCATGATGTTTTGCCTAGGACATGTTGCTTTCTTGTCCAATATGAAGCTTACACTAGAAAAGGAAAGAGGTCAGTGACTAGAAGCTAGGGGTGGACTCAGCAGGGCCTGAGGACAACAGAGGGAAGACACGGGCAACCCAAGGAAGCTTCAGTACACTTATAGCACCCGTTCCCTCCCATTCACTAACCTCTCTGAATTTTACTGTTCTTTCCAAAAAGTTTCATTGTTGTTGGTAGTAACGGTGGTGGTGCACGCGCACGTGCACACACACACACACACACACACACACATCCATACATGTACATACATGCAAGTGCCTAAAGTAGCTAGAAGAGAACACCAGGTCCCATGGAGCTGGAGTGAAGGTGGTTGTGAGCCACCCACTGTGGGTGCTGGGAACTCAGCTCCCCTCCATGCTCTTAACTGCTGAGCCGTGGCTCCAGCCCCCTGGTCTCTCACCTTTTATGCAATTTTTGGTACATTTCAACACACAGAAACTACACAGATGATCTTTTTCTTTATTAGTATGAATATATAGTGAATGACCCAACTGGCTTAAGTAAAGCAGGACTTCTTCTGTCCCACACCTGTGTCCCACCTGTCTAATATTTCCTTCCATCAGAGCCAAGCATGGGATACAAGAGATCGACTACAGGGTCAGTTTGCCCTCCGTCTACTCCCGGAAACCAGTGTTGGTTGAATTTAGTACAAGTCTGAAGTGGTCTCAACTAAGTTACCATAGGTGAAAACTATCTCCTTTCATGTTGCCAGCTGAGGTTTTGTGAATTTTGGGATAAACATGTATTAATGCTACAGAAATTGAATTATGACAATTTCGAAAATTGAGAGAAACTGGAATGCCATTTGTTAAATTTCAACCTGAACCTCAGTACCAACACCAAACCCAGTCTTAGATGGCCAAGCATTAGGAAAGAGACTCAACTAATAGTTGCTTGCTTTTTCATCAAACCTGCTGACATTCAGGAACCCCACAATCTATTTTTTGCTGGCTGTCCTGACAGGAGGGGTCACTTTCTTTCTTCTGTTGACGGTCAGCAAATGTCATCCTTCTCCAGACGCTCCCTGCTGTCATCTGTCTGCTGGTATCTGCATCATGCAGGGCCACACACACACTTCATGGCCACCACCGTGATTCAAGTCTCCCTTAGCAAGAAACATACAGCTGGAGGGGTCAGAAGGTGGGAAATGAAAAGTCAGCCCTCATGGTGATGTCAGGAAGTTCAATGACAGTTTAGAGAAAAATTTAATGTCTCAGAAATACATACTAGACATTTTTAAAAAGGATTAAAAACTGAGACCTTTAGAGTTTGGAATGAAGGAATATATGCATGGTATATGTGTATACATTTGTATATCTATAGAATTTTAACTCATTCTAGGTTTAAAAAAATAATGAACTCAGCCGGGCCGTGGTGGCGCACGCCTTTAATCCCAGCACTCGGGAGGCAGAGGCAGGTGGATCTCGGTGAGTTCGAGACCAGCCTGGTCTACAAGAGCTAGTTCCAGGACAGCCTCCAAAGCCACAGAGAAACCCAGTCTCTAAAAACCAAATAATAATAATAATAATAATAATAATGAACTCAAGAAATAATGGGTTTCCATTGCCTTAGAACACCCTGCATTGGTTTTATTCTTGTTGCTATGAAAAATACCCTGAGAAAAGCAATCTTTATTTTGGCTTGCAATTCCAGAGAGCTAGAGTTCACCAAGGTGAGAAGACACGATGACAGGCAGGGAACGCACAGCAGCCAGAGCTGGAAACTCTGTGATCGTGTTGTGTTGCACACAGGATGTGGAGGACTGGATAGCTGGGCTATAAAAGTTCCTGCAGTGAGCCTCCAACCCCTCCTTCCATAGCCCTCCCAAACATCACCAGCTCAGGGTACAAACAAAGGAGCGTGTGGGGGACATTCAATATTATTCAAACCACAACATCCGGAATACCGACCTGCCCCGTGGGCAGCCAGGGAACAGACTTATTCAGGGAAGTAGAGTAGAGTAAATCGCCGTGGGCTTAGAAGGATAAAGAATCTCATGAGGAAAAGCTCTTTGGACAGAATGTAGGTTGACTGACAGCACAATGTCAGGAAGATAGATACCCCAGTCCCAGGAGCACCCCCAAGGACCCCGAGGACATCAGCACTTATCTGGAGGGCATGCACCTTCTTTTCCTGGGTGTCCCTGGCTAGCCAGAACAAAGACATTGCTTAGCATTTGCTTGGAAGCATCTGGAATCCTTTCCGTCACACTCCTGACTCTAACTTGGCCTTGGCTACAGTTAGCTCAAAGCCTTCTGTTCAGATAGCAGTAAGACCCTGGGAGTCAGCTGGCAGTGAGATAACTTTACAGGGGCCTCTTGCCTCTGTGATCCAAGTGAGAAGCCATGTGGTTTGATGTTTAGAATTCCTGGATCCCGAGAAAGGAAATTCTGGTGTCTCATCCAAACATGGTTCTTAGAAGACATTCCTTTTTGTTGGCTGCTCATTGAGCCACACGGTGATGCAGCAGTGGAGATCTGGGCATTCACATCTCAGAACTGTAGGCACTGAATGGTCCATTCCCTTGCCACAGCAGGGTCCTCTTTCCTTCTTGTATTTCTTTATGTAACTGTCCCATTCCTACGATATCAGTCTCTGCACTTCATTCCCAGCACCGAGCAACAGGTGTGGCAGTTATGGTGGTGACAGGAAGATGAAATTCATTGTGACAAGTGTTTATTACTTATGATTTCTATTCTATAGATAATGTTACATCTACTACAAATCTATCACAGGCACAGAGGTAAGGACTAGTTAAGTTGCTGTGGAATAAGTGGCAAGCTGGTTCTGTCCCCAGTGGTTTGACCCCAGACCTGTGACCTTTTTCATGGGATTCTATAATGCTTCACTTTACCTGCTCATTGGACATCATAATGCCATAATGATTTTTGTCTAATGCTAATAAGAGAATAGATATTATCCTGGACAATGTTATTTAGTTCCTCTCCGCTCAAAGGCAACAATGTCATGAATTTGGTGTATCCCAGTCATGCTTTCATATTAGTACAATAATATTTATAAATGCTATATGATGCTTTTTTACTTTAAAATGTTACCTAAGTCATGTCACTGTATGTGACACCTTCTAACTTATTTAGTCCCAGTGTTATGTTCCAACAGTTATCCATGCTCATGCACATATATCTGTTTGTTCAACTTACCTGTGCATATTCAGATTGTTTCTTTGTCTACAAGTTGACAATTGGGTTATTGTAGCAGTTCTATAGTTAACAAAATCCTTGTCACTTTGAATACATGAATGATGACTTAGGGTTTATGCAGAGTGGACAAACACCAAGGTCTATAGAATTGCTGGGTCCAAAGAAATTGCATTAGTACACCCTTCCAGAAGTATTTGAGCTTTCTCTCTAAATGCCAAACTTAGAATAGTTGAGTCTTAAGATCTTACCGGCATGAACCTGAAATGGTATGCCACCATAGTTTTCAGTTGTATTTCTTTTGCTACCATTGAGGTTCAGAACTTGTATTTCAGAATCTCGCTGTCAGTTATCTATCAGCAATTATTTTTAGATGACATTCATTGTGTATACCGATCCATTGTCTACAATGGGGCTTCGTGTTCTTTCAAAGACCCTTTTCTTTCCTTGGGACTCCACAGCACAGCCATGTCTCATATGGCCAATGCTCCAGGGAACAGCTGAACAATGTTGACTTTTATGTAATATACAAATGTAATCCATCTAAGTGGAAATTTTATAAATTACACAAGTAATACCTATTTTTATGTGTAGAAAGTCAGTTGTCCTTTCACTGGTTAGTAACTGTCTTCTTCATGACCCAGCCATGTTAAGATACTGGAGTAGGTTGCCAAGAGACTGAAGAAAATGCTCAGAAATGGCTTGAATGAGAAATGAAAATTATTGTAGGTTACTGACAGAGAAAGTCTTAGAAACACAGAAGTCTAGAAGCCATAGACTGTGAAGACAGCACCTCCCCCACAGTGCTGCACCAGAGTCCCAGACATGAGCGTGCCATCCACGTTCATTCTTTCTCCCCTTCTCCCCTCCGACGCCTCCCTCTCTGTTTGGGAATAGGGAACCACAAACTATTACGTTTGTTGACTGAAAAGTTCATCTGCTAATTTCTGCTCTTAGTCTTACATCCTTCCACCTAGGTTCGTTGCCACTGTCGTGTTCTTTTTCAAACACCCTCATTTGAACTAATGTATTTTCCATTTCAATCTGCTAGGGCAGTTGGCGCTTATGAGCATTTTCCTTACATAGCACAAGGTATATGTACCATCACACGTGCTCTTATTTGCGGTATTTTATTTGTTAGTCTAAGTCTGAAAGTAATTTTATTAACATTAAAGTTAGAACAAACATACTCTAACTGTGATCTTTAAGAGACAAAGCATATGATTAGTTTTTATAGATACTCCATAAGACCCCAAAAAAAGAATATAGATTACCAGACCATATATCTGTGTGTTTATATTAGCAAGTCAATTTCATAAGTATATTGTTTATATCTCCTACAATATTGCCATTTTCCCAAATTCTGATGGAATTTTATCAAAATTCCGTGTCATTGCCCTTGTATCAATTTTCACTCCATGTATTTCAAAGCAAATTGATAAATGTCTATAAATTCATGAATTTTATTTGTGGATACTACTCCTTTTCAGAATATATTATTCACTTTAATTCCTGTTGACTATTTCTGAGTTAAATTCTATTTTTCCTGAGAATAATTTTTAATTGCTATCTGCCTCATATATCTTTGTATTCCTTTAATTTCATTTTTGTGATTTGTTTAGAATAATTTAAATAGTATAGGGTTGCGTTTTTAGTTTTATAGTTGTGGGGGGTGGGGGCTGTGCGTGCCGTGTGCAGGTTTCAGACTCCCTGAAGATGGAATTACAGGTGGTTATTAGCCACCCAGTGTGAGTACTGGAAACCAAACTTGGGTTTTCCTCAAGAGCAGCAAGGCTGTTAACCACTGAGCTATCTCTCCAGCCCTGAGTTAGATTTTTAGCTAGCTAATGACAGACTGCATTTAAACCAGCTCTACTAATGCCCTGTTGCTAATGTAATGATTTTGTTAATTAACAGCCCCAGAGGTCATTTGTCTAAATAAGCCTGCTCTGTTTTGAGACTTTAGGGGAGTATATGTCACCTGCAAAACTTCCTCCTGACCCCTCCCTCCCTCTCCAAAGCCCTCAACCTCTCTCTTGCTCTCTGATCTCCTTGCATCTTCTCTTTCTGGTTCTCTTCTCCGGCCTCTTTTAAAGGGTCCTTATGATCACACTGAGCCGGGGACCGATAGTCTCCAGATCTTTAATAACATTCCAGACATCGAGGATTAAGACATGGACATTTCGTGAAGACCATTGTACAGCCCATGACATCCAGACTGCTATTTTACAATCACTGTGGCTGTGGCTGCCGCCCCTCCTCTCCCGCTCTCACTTTGCACTAGGGTTTCCTTTCTCCGTGTGACCCCCAGAAGCACTGTCTCTTTGTACCCCGTTCGCTGCCCTTGTTCGAGCGCTGTCGGTTTATCCATATTGAGTGGCCGCCTTTGTTAGCAAACTCAAGTCTTTCTCTAACATTAATGAATGAACTTAGTATTTTAAACTTCCTCAAGAATTACACAGGGAGAGGGCCCTGTGTAGCTGGAGTTTCTGTTCCGCCTGGTCCTACAGCTGCTTTGTCCCAAATAAACACACAGAGGCTTCCATTATTCATTAAACTGTTTGGCTAGCTCTGTCTTAATCATTAACCCACTTCTATTAATCTATTGCCACAAGGCTGTGGCTTACCTGTAATCCGGCATGTGACTCCTTTGACAGCATGGCGTCTCTCTGATGGCTTCTCTCTGCCTTCCTCTACCCTGCCTTCTCCTGGTCTGGTAGCCCCACCTATGCTTCCTGCCTGGCTACTGGCCAATCAGTGTTTTAGTCATCAACCAGTAAGAGACCCATATATACAGAAGGATCTCCCCCATTAAGCCTGTCTACACAGTCACTACATCTTGACCTTTTCATGACCTCACCATTCTTTAAATGTGTAGAATTCAAACCTTCTCTTATTGACCTTGGAAATTTTGATTTTTGTCAGTCAGGGATTAACCATTCACTAGATACCAAAGTAGTTTCCTGACTTCCCCTTCTTCCTAGATACCAAAGTATTTCCTGTAACTTCCTACTTCCTTCTTGTGTTGTTTCTGTATGGTGATGGGTTTGGCTTGTCTTGCTTGGTTTACCCTGAGATACGTGCTCTTGCCTAGGATGGTTGAGTTCTTGCTAGCCGAAGCAGCCTCTCCACCACCTTCTCCTACCATATTCTCCCAAGCTGCTGCTATTATACATGTGCACCATGAAGCCCAGCGTGATTAGTATTTCTTTTTCACAAAGTTACATCTTTCTAAATTCTTCCATGGTGTCTAATTCCACTCGACAGGTTCTTTTGTTCCTTTCCTTTCTTCTGAATATTGACCTCTTGCTTTAATTGTTGCTGGTTATTTCTCTGTTAGTTTGGATGATTGCTTGTTCAAGGGCAGCTTGTCCTTTTTTTACTAGTTGATTTTAAAATCTTTTTAATCCTTGTTTTTTTAAATTTTCTTTTTAATGTATCAGAAAATTTGAGACGTAAAATCTGGAAAATGTTTCTTTGCTGCCTCTTCTGTTTCTGCTTTAAGGAAAAAATATACATACATACCTATATACATAACCCACACACATACACATGCAGAGACATACATATATACATGCATATACACACACTCACATACCCACACACATAACCCATATACACACAGGGACCCAAACATAAACACACACAAAGAGACACATAGACATATATACACATATACCCACACACAGATAGACAGAAATACATGCACAAATTATATATATATATATATATATATACACACACATACATACTCATATGCACACAAATGTGTATACCAGAATTTTTCCTGTAGTATCCTTCATAGCTGTTCTTATTTTATTACCTGCTCATGTTTTCTCTTCACCACCTCAGCAGTACGCTCTAACTTACAAATCCTGACTTTAATCTAGGCAAATCTAAGACTTATCCCATCTCTATCATGGTGGAGGACTTGGTAGGAGACGGTGGAAACTGTCCCCATCTTAGACATTTTTAAATTTAAAACGGTGACTGTACTTTTCACTTCTAAGATTCATAGCTGGTTATTTATAAATGCTTGTTCTTGATTCCGGTCTCCTTGCCCTTGTTTCATAGGCTCTGTTTTGGGTGCATTATCCCATTCCACAGCTCTCTGAGGATCTCGGGTGCACTTTCTAATCAATTTCAGTTGGCACTGCTGATTGTTCAGGGGTGAATTAATTGCCTGATTGTCTGCAGCTGCTCTCCCAGACGTTTAGCATTTTAAACAATGAGTCAGTCCGGTGTGGAGTATGTTTGTGCCTCATTCTGGGTGCTCACACCTCCCTTTCTAACAAGTCTCACATTTGCCTTCACCTGGATGGTGATTGCCAGCCCAGAGTCAGGTCTTGTGCCCCCCTTCCCATATGGACACCGGGAAATCAGGTTCCAGTTGTTCTGTCTTCCCAACAGCCTCCACTTGACCACAACACAAACAAATGTGGACTGTGGCTTCAGGAAGCTGCCTTCTCTAGGGACCTTGACCTGCATCCCAACCCTGATCTTTTGGTTTCTAGTTTTCTTCCTCAACTTGCCTCTACTAATATTAAGTAGTAAAAGCCTAGTAGGTCTGTGGCTTTAAATCCCTCATTGTTTCTGTTCCATGTGTGGTTCATATGAGGTTTAACTTGGTTTTGAATACAACTGTGCTTAGCTTTTCTTTTTTTTTCTTCAAAATTTTATAGCATCTTTTGATGGGTTAGAGTGAGATACATGTTTTAAAGCTTCAACCCATTGACTAACTGTCCTCTTAACTTTGTTTTAGCCCTTTGTAGGTGCTAATACACAATCAATTACAAGAGAATAAGAGACTATGTCTTCAGCAGAAATAAGAAAGCAGAGGGCTTGGGGGCATTGTTTTATATTTATTTTGTTTTGTCGGTCTTGACGTTAATTGTAAAAAAAAATCTATTTTAAAAAAACTCTTAGAAAAAAAGGGTCGGGAAGAAAATAAATTCTACCCTTTGAAAGGAGCATCTTTTTTTGCCATGTAAAAGTCATGGTTATTCCAATATGAGTTGGTTTCCTCTTGAGACAACCCCAAGTGACCCACTAAGTGACAAGAGGATGCCAGTGGCCTTAAGAGTGAGAGTTCTAGAAGCAAAGGTTTGTGCTTCACAGAGAACAGTGAGCTGCTCACCCCTACCTAGCCCCTACCAGAGACCTCTTTCATTTTGGCAAAGCTAAAAGTGAAAGACAGAAGACAGATTCCCCCAGGTCACATTGATTATATAAACCACAGTGACAGCAGGAAAGCTATTGACTCTACATCCGGTAACACTTTGGGTCAGCACATTCCCTGAGTCTAGGATGACAGCTCTACTGGTCAAATATGATTAGTCTGAGTATAAGTTAAAGCTAAAATGAAAGCAGAGCATTCAGAAATGAAAGGGAGCTGTCCAAAAGAATAGCTTTGTTTGCATGCTTGTCCATCTCCACTCTATGTGTCCTGACTTTTAATCCATTTTGGAAAATTACTTTTTCTATTAATTATTATTCAGGTATGCACTTATAGTAACTATCATCTAGAGGGAGTATGAAGTCAATTTTTCCTCCTTTTAGTCACCCTTTTCCTTCTCCATGAAAATGTTTAACTTCTTCCCCACAGTCAGCAGCAGCAGCTCAACTCATGCCACATTTAAGAGATGGCTCTTGCTGTCCTTGTGAGCTAAAGCATTTTCTCTTGTTCTGTGCACTGACACTAAACCGCCACAGTTCAGTGCCGAGTCGCTAGCACAAGGAGATGAGCAACTGACTACAATAAACAAAAGAAGAAATACAAGTACCGTGCGGTATGGCTTCCTCGGCATACCTCCAGTGAGACTTTCATCAGGAAGAAAATTATCGGTTTATTTCCCCTTCTCTGTCACAAGTAAGAAAACAGACACCAGACAGATGTTCGTCATGGCAGAATTGTCCATAGGATTCCATTTGGAGTGTGTCTTTTGTAAAATAACAGCTGTAATGATGTTGCTGTATACATTCTAAATTGCATGCTTTGGAAGAGAAAAGAAACCTGTCTCTGAGTGATAGCACATTAAATCAGGTCACATCTAGCAGGGAAGACACCATCTAGGGTTGATGGGGTCACATACCAAGCACAGTTGCTTTATGCACAGCGGCCGTACAGATGGGCTGTATCGTGTGCATGTTGAGCAATCCAGTCTTAATTCTTCACATTCTGGGTACATCCTTTAACCTCTTTGAGCCCTCAGTTCTTCCTCTTTAGATGTAGTGATGGCAGTGGTATCTAGAAGACTGTACAGGATAATATACGGAGAAAGTACCTGTTGAAAAAGTAAGAACTTGACCAATGATAGCTTTTATTGCCATCTGACAGACAAAAGGAACCAGGGCAAACAGCTTGTGGAAAGATAAATGTTTTCTGGTACCAGATCTTAAGGTCTTGCATTTGTCTTTCTTTAATAAGAAAAAAAGAAGAAAAAGTGAAGGGCAGAGGTTTTGAATCAACTAACACACACCATACAGAGCTTTGTAGAATAGAGGCTATAATGTTGCTTACTCACCTTTCACCTTTTTTTTCTAAATTTTTCATAGTGAAATCATCTTATAAAATATTTTAGAGCATCAATGTTGGTGAGTAAGAATATGTCCTTTCATGTCAGAGAAAAATGGACTCATTAGCAAATAACTATCTAGAAACTTTAAGCTTACCCTGACTCTCTTTCTAGGACTTCATCACTTGTACAACTGAACCCAGATATATGCAAATCCTGTGTGTGCTCAGGGGCCTCTAAAATATGCAGATCATGTGTGTGCTCAGGGTCTAGCCCGTTTCCTTGTATCTAATTGTCTGTTTGCTCTGAGACCTTTTGCTGAGTCTTAAGAAGACAGGGATATTCAAAAAGAGCAGTGTGATCTTTTACTAACAGATTATTGGTACATACTACTTGAGAACAATGAAAATTGCATATACCTATTCCCCTAGTACAAAGTCAGTTGGTCTTATAATTTCCACAGCTTTCTTCTGCCACAAGCAAGTAGAGCTACTGCTTGAGTAATGGGGAATCTCATATCAGCAACCAAATCTCTCCTATTCAATCTACAACCACAAGCTATTTCCCCACATGAACACAAAGAAAAGGCCAACAAAATAAACAAAATCATGTCTGGGGGAGTGAGGAAGCAACCAACCCAATGGCAGCCCAAAAGGAAAAGGAAACCAAGAGAAACAGCAAGCATTAGACTCTAGGAGATGCTGGAAGGCTTAAAGCCACTTTCAAAAGGCGTACATTCTAGTGAGATACATTTTCGAGCAATAGTGGGCCATGGATATAAACACTAATGGAAGAAAATTCCAGTCAACCTAGGCTGAGAGTTGGGTGCCAGAGGTTTCTACCCTTGCCCCGACTTCCCTCAGCAGAGGACTGTGAGCTAGGTGGCTCCAGGAGGGGTTTGTCTCCGAGAAATAAAATGTATGGAAAGTTTAAAACACCGTCCCTTGCCCATGGGTATGTGTCTGTGGATGAACCTGTGCTTGCTAGATTGAAGACCTAAGTGAAGAGTGTAGCCAAGATAAATGCTCAAGGCTCAACTGTGAGTCGTGTTAATTTGGTCTAAATGACCATGAAGTCATCTCTGCTGGGAGGATGGAAAGGAGAAAGTGAGAAAGAATAAACTAGTTGATATCCAAACATTAGCTCCAACAGGTTATCTGGAGATCTCAAAACAGGGACTGGAAGATAATGGTCAAAGAACTGGCAGTGTTTGGTCATGGCCAAGAATTGGAGTTAGTTTTGAAAATGGAAAGGCAGACTGAAAGGACTGGTATGTTTCAATGTGTGCCTTTTCTAGAACCATTTGCCTCACTCGTTGTGTCTCTGTATACCTATGATATATCCAGAAACAGCCCTCCATGGCACAGAAAAGACTATACACACACAGTGTGCCACCATTTACGTAAGGAAATTTTTAGATACAAACAAAAGGGATTTTTCTTTTAGTCATAAAACAGATCTGAAAAGATACATAGAAAATGACTAACAATGGATGCCTCTGGGGATGATAGTCAGAAAATTCCCATGTGAGGGAGGAAGGGGTAAGGGAGGGAGGGAGGAAGAGAAGGAGAGAGGGAGAGAGACAGAGACAGAGAGACAGACAGACAGAGAGAGAGAGAGAGAGAGAGAGAGAGAGAGAGAGAGAGAGAGAGAGAGAGAGAATCAAACTCCAGCTCTGAAAAGTAAAGAGACGAAAAAAGAATGACAATATCCTTCTAGGAGGAAATGCTCATTCACTAAAGTGAGTATACACTCCCTTTGTTCTGGCTTTACACAAATAACATCCTTCTAAAACAAACAGACAAAGATGGGAGGGGAATCACTCATCATCACATCATGCAGATGACCGCCGCTAAATTTTTGATGTTCACTTTCCGATGTTTTTCCTGTGAGGCCTATGTATTCCTCCCCGTCTCATGGACTGACATGACTTTTGTTGCCAGCTGTTTTCATTCAAGACTGGGGAAGAAGTTTTCTTCCCCAGGTCCTGTTTACTGACTGATTGGACTGGGTTGCTTCACTCCAGCACTGGGTTCACTCCAGTCATTAAGGTGACTTAATGACTACCCTCCCGGTAGACGGTCCCCAGATTTCACTGTTATAAATGATGTGTATCAATTTCTTAACTGCTTCTTTTGACTAAATCCTCACAAACACAACTGCTGAGTCACACGACATTAAATGCAACAAAAAGTCTTCATGCATTTTACGAGTTATCTCTCAGAAAGTTTGTACCAGCTTATATGCAGAGCCTCCCCAGATGTAGAGCATGAGGCTTCTACCCTCTTACCAATGATTTGTTTTTGCCAAATCTAGCAGATTTTTTTAAATGTTCATTTTAAGTCTGTGTTTCTTTGGCTTTCTGGTGAGACAAGACACTTTTCATATATTTATTGACCATGAAGTAAATATTATTTTTGAGCTCTGACCCATTGCTGGCACTTTAAAGGGGAGAAACACAGGGGAAACAGAATGACTCATTTCTTCAGAGTTCACAATCACACAGAAGAAATGACCCTACAAGAAACATAGCCAGATGATAAAATTGAAGCACAGAGGAGGAAGTAACCAGTTCTGTCAAAGGAAACTTGTCAGTCAGAAAGCTCTAGTGGAAGACAGAAACAGGCATCCATTTATGTTCAGCAATGGTGTTTAGCACATTTGGGAGGAGCAGGTGACCTTCTGTCCTGGGCAGTAAGTCTGGAGCTCGAGTCTCCAGACCAGAGGCCATGTGTAGGATACCAATCCTAATGTGGACCACCATGTTTGCAGAGGGCCTGGGTGATGTCTCAAAAGGACCTGAGGTCTGTCTGGCAAGCAGTGGTGGCACACGCCTTTAATCCCAGCACTCGGGAGGCAGAGACAGGTGAAACTCTGTGAGTTTGAGACCAGCCTGGTCTACAGAGAGAGCTCCAGCACAGCCAGGACTGTTATATAGAAAGATCCTGTCTTGGGAGGGGGCCTGAGGTCCAACTAAGATCCACCCCAAAACCATGAGTTTCTAATCATAAAAAAGGCTTAGACATTGTGGTAGTTTGGATGTATTAGGGTCATAGAGAGTGGCACTATTAGGAGGTGTGGCTTTGTTCAAGTAGGTATGGCCTTGTTGGAGGAAGTGTGTCACTGTGGGGATGGGTGCTGAGGTCTCATATGTGCTCAAGCCATGCCCGCTGTCTCAGTTCACTTCCTTTTGCCTGCTGATCAAACTGAAGGACTCTCAACTCCAGCACCATGTGGGGCTGCATGTCACCATGTCCACCATGAGGATAATAGACTAATCTTCTGAAACTGTAAGCCACCCCATCAAATGTTTCCCTTCATAAGAGTTGCCGTGCTGTGATCATGGTGTCTTTTCACAGCAATAGAAACCCTGACTAAGACAGATATGGATCAAATAGGACAAAATACAACAAAACATTTGCACTTTGTGTACTCTGAAGCTTGTGCGCAAAGCTTTGGGGTGAACTGGAGTATTCTTTCTGGAGGAGATACACAGATGTCTGGGAGGGGCTAAGGAGTGAGAAGAGGACCCGGCTCGGGTCTGTGTGGGAAGAGAGCCCTGTCAGTGACATGGATTGTGGAGGACAGAAAACTGGCTGGGAAGTTTTAGAAAGCAATCTGAATAAAGCGCACTGTTTATTGAGTGATGGACAAGGTGTGAGACGTTTGGCACCCTTTTTTTCATCTTTGTAAGTGGTACAGCTCTGAGGGGAATCAAACCAAATGTGACAGCAGACACCTGCAATCCAGGGGTTACATATTCAAGGGCATTCCTGGCTACAGAGTGAGACCCTGTTCCAAAAGAAAAAGAGAAGTGCAACTCACAGATGGAGAACCTGAAACCTAGGTTGGAAAATCAGCCCAAGGTCATCTAGCTACAAACGATGGACTCCAGGACTGACCCCTAAGTCATGCCACTCCAAAGCCCACCCTTGCAGTCCTGACCCTGCACCGCCTCCCTTGAAAATCCTAACATGGATTCTGGTGGGCTTCCCTCCTAACTGCCAGCTAATTGTTTAAAGCAGAGAAATGACTCACTTCAAGAGAGAGGAGTATATGACTCCAGACGCCACTTAGATGATGAAGGGACACGGGTTTGGCGAGCCTTCATTGTTCTTGCCCCACAGAGAAAGGATCATCTGCTGAGATAATAGAAGTTAAAGCAGTTCCTCACTCCACACGTGGGCTCCTGTTGTTATCTGCTTCCTCTTTTTCACGGGCTTAAATGGCAAAGGAATTGTCGTTTTCAAATGCACAGTGCTATTTTCTTCAGGCTTCATAGTTATTAGCCCTGCAGAGCAGCAGGCCTGTCGAAGCACATATTGTCAGTGTGACATGTGCAAGAGGAGCAATTGCATCTACCTTTTATGGAAAATATTAAATACTTGATACAGCAACTTACATTAAAAAAAAGGCCCTGTCTGATTTACCATGGAAGCTGAGCCTGCATAAGAAGTGGAGGGATGTAGCCCATTACCAAATCAAAAGCAGATGTGTGGAACCTTGAGAGGAGGGTTTATTAGTACTCACCAGAGGACATGGGATTCTGAGCTGTAAAAGATCATAGAGCCCCCATCCTTCCCACAGCCATGTTCACCTGCACTAAGCATGTACTTCCTATATATGTTGTGTATGGACTGTGGACATGGCTGACTTTCCAGCCCTAATGTGCTGAAAAAGCAGAGACAGCCATTACCGATGATCTCTTTATCTCTTTTCAAGATTAATTTTTATTTGCATGTATGTGCCTGGGGTAGGGTGTACCTTCAGAGACCAGAAGCAGGTATCAGATCTGTGGACACAGAGTTATAGGTGGTTGGGAGCTGCCAGATGTGGGGGTGCTTGGAATAGAACTCCAATCCTCTTGCATAGGATTTATTTACCTATGAGACTTAGCTTATACTGAGTACGTAACCACTGAGTCATCTCTCCAGTTCCAACTGAAGTTTTAATGGGAAATTTCTAGAGGGCTTCATGTTAGCATCTTTGAAAGAGAATGTACGGAAGCTTGTATTAATTTTCTGTTGCTAGGTTTTAAATTACCATAAATCTAGTTAAAAACAATACTAATTGGTTATCTGTTCCTATGGGTCAAGAATCCAGGCCTGGCATGGCTGTGCCCTTCTCCTAGGATCACCAAGGACTAAAATAAGTGTGTTAGCTGAGTTGCATTTCTCTTGGGAGGCTTGTCTGGCGAAAGACCCACAGTTAGCATCTTGAGTTTACTGGCATATTTTTGCTCTGTAGTTGAAATTTCCTGTCTTACTTGCTATCTGCATTGATGCCTCCCAACTGTTACTGGGCCACCATGGCTACCCTATCATATGGTTGTTCCTTTAGACTTGATATCTCCCGGACTTGATATTTCCTTACTAAGAGGTGTTCAGCCTCCTTTGGGCCCACTGAAGATGATCTCCCCATCTGAAGGTGAACTGATTTAAGACCTTAGCTACATGTGCAGAGTCCCTTCCCAGGAGCATCAGCACTAGTGTTTGACTGAATAATGGAGAAGACACCTACGCCCAGGAGACGGACACCTTCTGTCTACCACAAGTCTCCACCCACTTCTTTCTGGCAAGAGTATTAAATCTTAAATTCTTTCTCAGAATCCATCTTTATTTTCTCAATGTCATAATCTATTTTTTTCAGCAAAATGCTATCAAGCCCATAATTGTGTGATATAAGAGCAGATCAAATGTGAGTAAAATGATAACAGCTATGGTTTATGGTAACTTAACTATGTGTTAGAGTCTGCACATATGACTGCAGTTAACTACCACCTCATGTGGAAAGCACAGTCAGTACTCAGAGCTAATTAGATCAAAAGGATGAATGGGTGATGCCTTACTTTCCTATTGCTATTTTATCACCATGATCAAGGCAATTTATAGAAGAAAAGGTTTGTTTGGCTAACGGTTCCATGGAGTTAACAGTCTGTGGTAGCAGAGTAGAGGTAGCAAGCTCACATCTCAAATAACAAACAAAAAGCAGAGAGAATCTTTTGAAACCTCAAAGCCTGCCCTTAGTGTCATAGTTCTTCCAGCTAGGCCACACCTCCTAATCCTGCCAACAACTGGGAACCAAGTGATCAAATGCCCAAGACTTTAGTGGGGAGGGTATCTCCGTGAAACCACAAGTGACTTGCCCCAAGTCCAACATCTGGAGGGCAGGTATGCAGGAGACTCATGTCCACATCGGTTTTCCCTCAGTGCCTTCCTTCCTAACCTATCCCCATCCATTGTCATCTTACTGTACTGTGGTCTTAAAAAGGTCAGGATGTAGTCTCCACAACTGTCATGCTTGTCATTCATCCACCTTTTCTTTAGCCTAGTTTTCCCTCCCACGGCACATACCACACAGCCTAGGCCCTCCCACAATAAAGGGGCACACCCGAAAGTCAAGCAGCAAAGCCACACAGACATGGCAGAGCAATGCAATCTGACTTACAGTGAGGGCAGCCCAGGACCTTAGCATCTGGTATTTTGTTGTACCTTGTTCCTAGAGTCTATGATGTATTTTTCTGTCTGGTTTTATGCCAGGCATTGATTAATAAGCTTCATCAAAAAGAAAACCCACTGATTCAGCCCTGGAGAGCAACTTAGGTCTTTGTTACCAGAGCATCCACCCTGTGTCAGCAGGAATCAAACAGAGACGCTATACATCCATCAAAAACTGATGACCTGAAATAGCACTCACCCAGGCCACAGCCTCACTTCATTGTGGATAGAGGATTGAACTGCACCACTAGTCAGAGGAAGACTACAAAGAGTCAGAGTGAACAAAATGACTTTGGCGGTACCCTCTCTGAAAGACATCATGCTCTCTGATTTAAGTGGCATTGACTTATGTCCCCATTGTAAGCTAAGTCTCAATAATGAACAAAAACTATATAGAATGCTTTAAAGCCACAAACTGGGCAGAGAGGTCAGCAGAGTAGGATCTTCTCACCTAACACTTTCCTGTTTCCTCTCCTAGCTGCCTCTGTATATTTTCCTAAGAGTAGACGGATGTGAAGTCTGGTGCAATTGAGCTACCTTGATCCATTTTTTAAATGGCTACAGAAAATTGAATTTGCATTTACAGTTCTTTTGGAACTCATTTTGATGTCACATTTGTGACTAATATCTTAGGTTCTGCGTTCACTTTAGGACTGATTAAAAAAAAAGACAACTCTGGGGCATAAATTAACAAGACAGGTTAGGAAGTATTTCTCTGAGTCCAAAGGTGAACATAACTCTGTGACCTCCCACTCTTGCTGTTTCTCCTATCAATAGTAGTTTGTGTACACCCTAAAAGCTGAATGTGTAAGGAATACCTTAATTACACGTGTGGGGGTGTGGAAGTCCGTATAATCACATAAAGGCACAAGATGACACCAGGGGCCCCACTCTATCACTCTCTAACTTCTTTCCTTGAGTCAGGATCTGTTCTTAAACCCAGCACTAGGCTGGTGGCCAGTGGACCCCAGAAATCCTATCTCCACCTGCTCCACAGCTGGGGTCACACACATGGGTGACCACACCAGCTTTCAACATGGGTCCTGGGGACTTGAACTCAGATCCCCGTGCTTTATAGCAAAGCCTTTACCCACTGAGCCATCTCCCGGTCTAAGAAATGTAAAATTATAGACAACTGCATATGACCGCTCTGGAAAAGCAAGGACTTCACAGTCCTTTCCATAGTCTAGTACTCCACTAGAAGGACGTGTGAGTGAGGAATAAAGGTACAGAGAGATTTTGGAAAACAGATCGAATCATGCAAGGTTTAACTTTTTTTCCCACAAGTGTCCTTCAGATACAGACAAATATACTATCTCTCTCCAGGTTCTAGCATGTCTAGAACAATCCTTGCTGTTGGATGGTTTTCCTCTATTTCAGTGTCACTAGACATGTTCCTCCATGAGGAATGCTAAGACTTCCTACAGTTTCCATTAATGCCAACACTGAAGTAAATTTTCCTCAGCATCATTCATCTGTATCCTCATTACGCACACTTTGTAAATCTGAAAAATGTTCTTCTGGCATTCATTTAATTCATTTACATTTTAATATGCAATCTACTTGCTTCCCATGTAGGTTTGCAAAGCACAAGGAAATGGAACTAGCTTTCTGGCCTGTCTAACAGGATTTGTCCTCAATTTCAAATTGGGAAATGAACATTTGGGTTTAAATATTAGATTCTCCCTGTACAAATACCTGTGAGTCGGATCCTAAGAGTGGATAATGGGTCCACTGACCAGATCCAGCCTCTTAGTCTGCACCGGAACTAAAGTGAATTTGGAATGTCAGCCTTTGGGACACCGCCTGGTGGCAGACTCTTAACTTTTATTCAAGATCTGTACCTCTCATTAATCATAGTCATTAACAGCACCATTCAAACCCTCACAAGACTCTCAGGACATTTTTGACTGACGGGCACCACTGTGAGCCTCATACAGTTGCATGTATCTTTACATCCCTCCTTTTTATTTTGCTAGAAATATACCATGGAAATCAAATGGAAGAAGGATAGATTTGATTTTTTTTAGATTTATCTATTTTTATTTTATGTGTATGCATGTTTCACCTACATGTATGTAGGTGAACCATCTGTATGCCTCACACCCATGGAAGCCAGAAAAGGGCATCAGATCCCCTGGTAATGGGGTTACGCAGGGTTGTGAATTTCCATGTGGGTGCTGGGAATCGAACCTGGATCCTCTGGAAGAGCAGCAGGTGCTGTTAACCACTTGACCATCCAAAGAAGGATGACTTTAGACTGAAACAGCCTCCAAAGCCAGTGAGCTCAGAGAGTGTTTTCCTCCCTATGCTTGGCTTTTGAGGGCTTCTCTTGAGCCCATGACTTGGGGAAGTCTGGAAGTGGGAAGATTTTCAGGCAAATAACCACATTCTTATCTAGTGAGCTGCCCACACTATCCTGGCAGCTTCTAACCATCTCCATGGCTTATCTTCTATAGCCTTTTCTCAATGTGTTACTGGTAATAACTAAATATTTTACAGAAGCAATATCTTCCCTGAAATAGAATCAAGAGTTAAATGAGCAGAAATAGCTACTGGAATACGGAGAAGATGCTTTTTATTAATTTTGAAATAATTGCCTATACATAAAATTAGAGAGTGTGTGTTAGACTTTTTAATCAATAGTAATACAATTAGAAACACACCACTTGTTAATTAGGTTTAATTTCATATTTGGAGGAAAAACACGTTTGTCACCGTCGGAGGATTCTAACATGCCCTCCTCTGGAGAAGCACATTGTCACCAGCCTCCTCCTGACTCCCTTCACATCGGCTCCTCGGGGGCGAGGGTGTGCTTTGGGCGTTTGTTATCTCCCACAAAGGCGAAACATCATGCCTATTGAGTCTATACGCACTGTATCTGATTGAAAGTCCTAAAGTCAGTGTGCTCATCAGACTTGTAGCTGACCAGGTGGGTATCAGAACCAGAATTATACAGACATAAATACCAACTAATCAGAACTAACTCTGAACATAATAGGTTTGTTTAACAGCGTTCTATACTCAGCTGAAGAGAGAATTAGTGAACTGGAAGAAAACTGAGGAGAAACCACCCAAAAGAAATCGGAGAGTGAAAGTATAGGAAATGTAGTTACAAGGCTAAGAGATGGCCTAATAGTTAGCTATGCCTCTCAGCGACAGAATAGCTAAGAAAAGCAACTTACGTGGAGGAAGGCTTACCTTTGGTCGTGGTTTCAGAGATTTCGGTCCATGACCACTTGGACCTTTGTCCCTGTGGCGGAGCGCACTTGGTGAAACAAACCCACTCACTTTATGGCAGCCAGGAAGCGGAGCGCAATGAAGGGTTGCCTCGGTTGGAATGTCCTCTCCTAGGCATGCCCCGTGACCTCACTTCCTCTAACTAGGCCCCGCCTCCTAGGTTTTCACTGCTTCCCAACAGCGCCACCAACTGGGTGTCAAGTCTTCAACCCACGAGCCTCCAGGGGACATGCCAGGACAAACTACAAGAGAGATGATATTAGGAAGTTCTGAAATGGTATGGATAAAGAATGAGGTGAAATATTTAAACAGACAATGATTGATAATTATCCAAAACTAAAAAAAACATAAAGAGATCAAATTCCAAGCAGAATGTGCTATAGGCTTTCAAAGACAAGGGCAAAGTCTAAAAGTAGAAAATAGATTACCATCAAAGAAGCAGAACTCGTATTTTGATTAATATTTACAGCATGAGTCATTTTCATAATTGACATCTTAACCTCACTTTGACATCTGAGGTTTTCCTCTAAATGTGGGAGGCAGGATTTGAAGGACTATCAAGTATAAGTGGTGCCTTCTATTTACTCTGTGTAATGCCAAGGAAGGACCAAAAGCAATGTATAGTGGGTCAAAACGAGTCATAATCTTTACCCAATATAAGGAATAAATGTCTAATAATTTGAGTTACAACCTGAAGTAAATAAATTACCATATATAAGAAGTGAATATGCTAACATCAAAAAGAGTTTGAATAATAGATTGGTATACTCATTTATCAACTTGTGTTTTACTTATTGAGACAGGATCTTGCTATGCAGCCCAAGCTGGCCTTGAACTTGGGATCCCTCTGCCTCCCACTCCCAAGTGCTGAGATTATAGGCATGTACCACCACACCTGGCCTCATTTGTTAGATATTTATTAAGTAGCTGTATATGTACTATAGCTATGTACTATACCTTACTATAAATATTTGGGATATTTGTGGAAAAAACCACCAAACACACAAACGAATGACAAACCCCCTTCTATGTTGAGTTTACATCCCACTGCAGGGGGCAAGACAATAAACATGATAAATAAGCCATATACTGTGCTAGAACACCATGAGTGCTAAGGAAGGAAAACCTAGAGCAAGGTGAATGTGACCAGGAATGTTAAGATGGGTTGGCCATTTTCTGTTCGATGGTCAGAATAGGTGTTAGCGGGCACTGGCTTTGGCAAAGACTTTGGGGAAGGAAAAGTGGTGTGCTGTGGATATCTAGGCAGTTAATAAACTGATAGGAGTCACTTCGAACTCAGAGTCAGCCTTGTAATGGATTTCAGAATAAGCATGGAATTATTTTAATTATTATAAGAACACAGTAAAAGCCAGGATGACTTCCTATCATGTTTATGAAAAGGTACGCATCTTTACTCTAATTCTACAAACTTCTCCTCTGAGAAGTACTTCTCTGAAAATTCCAGAAGGAGTGCTGACCCTTCCGTTGCCATCTCAGAATTGTGAGGTTAGAGCACATATTTAGTAGAAGTTTGTTAGAGACCTAGGTTGTTAGCATGGAGAAGAGACGCAATGAGTCTTCACAGAGCATTCCAAAGCTGAAGGGTGGGTGGCCTTGCTCTTCAGACTCGGGAAGTCACCGAACATCCAGCTTCTTTGATTCTAAAAGAAATAGAATGATGATGTTTGTCTTTGAACTTGAATTCTGTGGTGTGGGCCATTTGAAGCAGAAGGCTTTGACATACTCAAGATGAAGAGCCAAGAACGCCTACCCAGTTAACTTGTAGTCTTGTGTTGCAGGCAAACAAAAAATCCCTTTGGACGGTTAAACCCAGTAAGGGCATGGTTCCTGCAGAAGATGACATTCCGCTGACCCTGACTGCCAATCTGAACGACATAGTGACATTCAAAGACACAGTCATTCTGGAGGTTGAGCACAGCAACACCTATCGGATCCCTATCCAGGCTACAGGGATTGGTTCTACCATCGTGTCAGACAAGCCCTTTGCTCCAGAACTCAACCTGGGAGCACATTTTAGGTAAGGAAATACCATGGAGCAATTGTATAATTACATATGTCACAGTCTTAACTAAGTAGTACTAGCTCCCCATCGTCTCCTGTCCCGCCCTCACTGTCTCCTTTCTTGATGAGTACACTGGACATTTTCTAGTCACAGCTTGGTTACATTCGTTACAAGAAGACATTTCCAAGTCATCGCCCTGTGCTCTAGTTTCCTTTCTGTTGCTGTGATAAAACACTGACCAAAAACAACCTGGGGGAGGGGTTATTTCATCTGGCATTTCCCTATCACAGTGCATCACCTGAGAGAAGTCAGGACTCAAAACAGGAGCTTAAAGGCAGGGACGTGGAGGAATTCTGCTTGTTGGCTCACCGTCAGACTCTTGCTCAGCAAGTTTCCTTATACAGCTCAGAACCATCTGCCTAGAGAACAGTAACACCCACAGCGACCTGGACCCTCTACCATGCATTACTAATCAAGGCTATCCCCTAGAGACATGCCCACAGACCAACCTGAAAAAGGTGATTTCTTAACTGAGACTCTGGTGAGTTTTTTTTCATATGATTTTAGGCTGTGTAAGGTTGACAGTTGATAGTAACTGGAAAGCCTGCTTACATTCTCCAAGCTAGGCCCTCCTACTCTGGGCAAAGGGGTGGTAACTACTTTATGATGGATTCAGTATTTCTGCATAATTTCCTCTCCAATTTTAGTACACTTCTCATCCCTCTCCACAAATGTAGAAAACACTGACACAGCTTAGTGTTACCCAAGTAGAGTTCACCTAGAAAGGTAAGCCATTACAAATGCATAAGGCATTGCAAAGCCAGTGACTTCTGTGGATCATATTTCATCTATTTGCTTCCACATCATAGTACCAATGATTGAGCTGCAATTGTTTTCCCTGGCTTCCCAGGGAAAGCTGGAGGCTCTGAATATTTCAATAAGAGGCAGTAGACCAGAGACCCCTGGTTCCACAGGGGCATTGTGTAGTTATCAGTAGTTGACTCCCAGGATCTGGCTGATTTGTTCTTCTCAGGTGCAGTACTAGAAAGACACCTCATGGCTGCCCCTCTAACCTGATTTAACAATCCCTGAACCCAGCTCACATGCCTTATGTTCTGAGAAGTCCTTCCCACAATCCCATCCACCCCCTGGTTCTTAACTGAAAAATACCACAAGCAATAGCAAAGTGACAGCCCAAGGAGTTGAACTGCATGTTTTACACATGTCCAGTTGTACATTTTTTTGAGTCAGGTAAATATCAAAACCCTCCTCTCTGCTTTATCTTTTGACTGTAAGGAAAGACATTTGTCACTGTGTGCTAATACTGCTACTTAAACTTCTTCTTCTTCTTCTTCTTCTTCTTCTTCTTCTTCTTCTTCTTCTTCTTCTTCTTCTTCTTCTTCTTCTTGTGGTTTTTTTTGTTTGTTTGGTTGGGTTTTTTGTTTGTTTGGTTTTGAGGGATTTTTAAAATAATTTTAAAGATTTATTTAATTTAGTATTTATTTATTTATTTATTTATTTATACAGTGTTCTTCCTGTAAGCCTGCAGATCTCATTATAGATGGTTGTGAGTCACCATATGGTTTGCTGGGAATTGAACTCATGGCCTCTGGAAGAGCAGCCAGTGCCCTTAACCTCTGAGCCATTCCTCCAGGCCCTTGTTTTATTTTTTTGTTTTCTGGTTGTTTGGTTGGTTTTGTTGTTGTTTCAAGACAGGTTTTCTCTTTATAACCTTGACTATCCTGGAAGTAGCTCTGTAGACCAGGCTGGCCTCAAACTCACAGAGATACACCTGCCTCTGCCTCCTGAGTACTGGGATTAAAGGTATATGCACCATCATCACCACCCTGCCCATTTAAACTTCTTAAGTGCACACAAACCTAATTATAGAAAACAATATTCTGCACACTGTATTTAATTGTTTGGGATTATTCAAAATCTATAAATAATGTCAAATATTGTTCCCCAAAGGATATGCTAGCCCTTACCTGGAAATTTGAGGGCTAGCTAACAGGTTTTATGAATATATAAACAAACTGTAGTTAGCTATTAGTTTCCCCTCTGTCTAAACCCTGTTATTCTTCCTTATTAACATATAATCACAATGCCAACAGTAACCAAAAGAATGAGCAAAAGCCATGATGGGTATATCACCGCCCACTGCCTGTTTCTATGAAGAAGGTTCTGTTGGCATGCAGCCAGTACATTGGGCTACTTTCACACTAAGAAGGAGAGTCAGGTAGTTATGCCTGAGTCATGTGACCTAAAAGTCTATGGTGTTATCCTTCATCTCTTTACAGAGGCAGTTAGCCAAACCTGAACTAAAGGAATACCCATATGCCACTTCTTCTGATCGCGTATTTTGGGTCAAATCTCTTAGATATTTAGAGCTTTTCTCCCTTCTTAAAATGGAAGTTAAATGACTCTGATGGATGGGTTTCTGTGATTATTAAAATCACACTGTAAATACGTAACAATAGCTATACCTAGTTTATTCATACTGTATATGTTTATTTTTTTAATAAGTTCTTACAAGAAAAATAAACTGTTGAAGATGAGTTGGGATGTTTGTGTTGTGTTGTTTCTGCTGCTGCTGCGACTGCTGCTGTTTTTCAGAAAGGATCTCACTATGCAACCTAGGTTAACCTCGGACTCCCTATGTAGACCAGACTAACTTGAATTTATGGTGATCCTGTTGCCTCAGCCTCCCAAGTGCTGGTATTACAGACATGCAGCACCTTGCCTGTCCAGAGATGAGCTTTTTTTCCTTGAAGAAAAATATATTGATTAAGCCTATAAATGGGGAGGGGGTTGCGCGCGCGCGTGTGTGTGTGTGTGTGTGTGTGTGTGTGTGTGTGTGTGTGTTCTAACTTATTTCGATCTACCTTAGAAATACCATCTCCTTCACAAAGAGCTAGGCAAATAAGGAGGTCTTTAATAAATAGAGAAGGAATGGATTAGCAAATGAAACAGTTACAACTTGAAAGCATGAAGAAACGAGGGGGCGGGGGAATCTGAGGAAAGTGTCTAATCTAGTTGGTGTTCTGGTCTCCTTCAGTCCAGCCCCTCTGTCCTGCCAAGGCTTAATAGGTTTGTGTTGTTCACATTGAACTCCAAAGGAAACCCACCACCAGCAGACACATCCCAGTCAGGAGAAATGGATTCAACGTGGGTTTCTCCTTCAGCTAGTA